CTTTTCCTATGCCAATGTCTTCAAGAGTTCTACCTAACTTATCTTCTAGCAAGTTTAGTGTTTCTGTTTTAATATTTAGATCTTTGATCTACTTTGATCTTAGTTTATTGCATGGTGATAGATAAGTGTCTAGTTTTAATCTTTTACAGGTTGAAATCCAGTTTTTCCAACACCATTTATTAAATAGGCTATCTTTCCTGCAATGAGGGTGGTTGGCTCCTTTGTCAAAGATGAAGTGGCTGAGTATGTCTGGAGTTGCTTCTGCATCTTCTAATCTATTCCACTGATCCTCGGGTCTGTTTTTTTGCCAGTACCATGCTGTTTTTATCACAGGAGCTTTGTAGTATAGTTTCAAGTTGGCGATTGTCATACCCCCTGCCATGTCTCTGTTGCTTAGAATTGCTTTAGCTATTCTAGGTCTCTTCTGGTTCCAAATGAATTTTTGGATTGTTTTCTCTATTTCTGTGAAATATATTAGTGGAATTTCAAGTGGCATTGCATTAAATCTGTATAGCAGTTTCGGAAGTGTGGCTATTTTCACTATATTAGTTCTTCCTACCCAGCAACAGGGGATGTCTTTCCATTTTCTTATATTCTTCAGTTATTACTTTTAAATAAAAATAATTATATATTTTAGCCCTAGATACTGCCTTTATTCCATATCATAAACAGTACTGAAGTTATCTAGTAGCTCTTTTCTTTTGTTGTATCAATTATTTCTAGTTATATGTGTTCCTCCTATATTTGGGTTTATATTAATTTATTTGTGAGCCTGAAGTTGTTCATGTTACTTGCAGGTAATACATAAGATGTTAAGGAGTTTAAGCTTTCTCCTGATTTTTTGTTTTGTATTTGTTGCTTCTATATTCCCAAAGTTTATATAATTTATATACTCTTTTGCCAACTTTATCCCCTGTAAAAAATAGACATTATTTTTTAGAGCAGTTTTAGATGCACAGCAAAATTAAAAGTAGAATTCTCAGATATTCTTCTTTCTATTAAAGTCATCCACCAGCATGATGAATTTGTTAATAAATTATTTATTAATAATTAAGCTCTACTGACTCATTATCTCCAAAACTCTTGGTGTTGAACATTTTATGAGTTGAAAAATGTATAATGACATGTATCCAATATAGTGTCATGAGCATAGTTTCTCTGCCCTGAAAATCCTCTATGCTCTGCTTATTTGTCTTTTTTCCTCTTAAAGCCTGTCAGATATTTTTATCATCTTGATAGTTTTACTTTTGTCCAGGATATAATGCAGTTGGAAATACTCCAACATACAACTCAGTATGTACTCTTTTCAAATTGATTTCTTTTACTTAGTAATATGCATTCTTTCCCTCCATGTCTTTTCCTGGCTTGGTAGCTCTTTTTTTAAAGCATCAAATGAGATTGAAGTGTCGTGATGCACAACAGTTATTCATCCATTCATTCACTGAAAGAGATCTTGGCTGTTTTGACACTTACAAATAAATGTCGTGCTATAAATGTCCATGTTCAGGGTTTTGTGTAGATGTAAGTGTTTCACTCCTTTGAGTATGTACTCTAGTGCTGGATCATATGGAAGATATCTGTCTGTTTTTTGTTTTTTTTTCTTTTGTACCGGGCATCAAACTCTGAACCTTGGGCTTGGGCTTGTGAGGCAGAAGGTGGAATCACTGAGCTAAATCCCCGGCCCCTATCTGTCTGGTTTTGTGAGAAACTGCCCAACCATCTTCCAAAGTGGCTGCACTGTTTTGCATTTCCACCAGCCAGAAATGAGTCCCTCACTAGCATGTGATGTTACCAGTGTTCAGATTTTCACTAGTATAATAGGCAGGTACTGACAGCTCACTGTTGTTTATTTTCCTCAGAGCTGGTAATTAACCCAGGGCTTTTAAACTGAGCTACATCCCTAGCCCTTTCATTTTTGATTTTGAGACAGGATCTTGCTAAGTCACTGAATTGCCTAGGCTGGGCTCAAGTTTGCCACCCTCCTTCTTCAGCCTCCCACAGTTCTGGGATGGCAGGCATGACCCACCACACCTAGCTCTCTCATAGTTGTTTTAATTTGTAGTTTCCTAGTCAGAAATGATGTTGAGCATCTTATATGCTTAATTGTCATCTGTATATCTTCTTTGATTAAATGTCTGTTCTGATTTTTTGCCTATTTTTAACAGTCCTTTATAGATAAGTCTTTGCAAATACTTTCAGTCTGTGGCTTGCCTTCGTTTTGATTATCCTTGACTTTTAATTACAGACCTGTTGTTAGATATGTTTTCTTCTCACCTCTCGTCCTTAATAAAAGATTCTGTGGGTTTTGTTGTTGTTATTGAAACTTAATCCTCTGTTTCATTACTCAGGTAGGTTCAGGGGAGAGACAGTTTTAAGGTCATATAGGCTTGTAATACTTTGTGGTCCACACATGAAGGAAATTTGGCCTGGATATAAAGTACTCAGTTCACATTTTTTTCCCCCATGAGTATCTAAAAATGTTACTTCATTGTTTTCTAGCATAAAGTGTTGTTGATGTTTAAGAAAAATCTAATTTTTCTTTCCCTTACAGGTGACTTGGCTTTATGTTTAACTTTTTTGTTGTTAATTTTGTAACTAATAAAATATAAAATTTGTACATATTGATGGGGCAGTATATAATGTTTCAGTACATGTATACATTGAGTAATGTTTAAGTCAGGTTCAACATATCTCCTCAAACATTTATCAGTTTTTGCGGGGAGGCACTAATGGTGATTGAACCAATGGCTTTACATTGAGTTACATCCTTAGCCCCTTTAAATGTTTTTTTTTTATTATTGTTTTTAAATTTTGAGAAAGGATCTCCATAAGTTGCCCAAGCTGATCTTTTACCTTGCTTTCTGCCTGCCTCAGACTCCCAAGTAGCTGGATTACATGTGTCATTTCTTGTTTTTTGTTGGTATCAGGGATCAAACTCTGGACCTTGCGCTTGCAAGGCAGGTGTGGTGCCATTGAGCTAAATCACTGGCCCCGGATATCATTTCGTGATGGCCAAACATTCAAAGTCCTTTTAGCTTTTTGAAATGTATGGTACATTGTTGTTACCTATAGTCATCTTACATTGCAATAAATAACACAGCAGAATTTCTTGTGCTTATTCAGCTGTAACTTTACATATTTGTTTATGTTTCCTATGTTTATATGAATTTTATTTCCTTGGATTATTCTTTGGATTGTAAGATGGTCCAGTAAAGTGGTAGGGTAAGCCAGGATCAATTTCCCTTTGGTTGTCATCAGTGCATTTGTGTAGCCATTTCTGTCTTTCAGAGGTTAGCTTTGTTCAAGCAGTTTTCTTCTCCAGCACAGTGTTTCTGAGGGCTTTACTGGCTTATTGTTCCACTACCGGAAAAGTATTTTCTCTTTATAGTACTTTCTGTAATCTATTTCCTTTGGAATTTTGCTACCCCTTTCCTCCTCTTGTATCTGATTGTTCTTTCTCCTATCTCTATTGTTTCTGTCCTGCACATTTTTGCCTTAGCATGAGATTCTATTCTTTGGCAAGGGGCTCTTGCTGACCATTTCTGAGATGCTTTAGAGTTCAGAGCTTCATAGCCTGCTGAATGGAATATATAGGTTGTTGCATTTACCTGGAAGTGGAGCCTGTGAAAATCTTTCTGCTTTTCTCCATTTGTTCTCAGATCTGATCTCCCAGTTTTCTCTAATGATAAACTGCACTCCTTTTGAGGGATTCACTAGTGATACTTGGGTTCTGAGTCCCCTTTCACTTTCCTTTGATCTCTTCTGCTCAGCTGCTGGTCCTGCGTTGTGGACAATTTAGACACGTTCTCTTATATTCTGAGATTTGTGGGAATTATCCTTTACCTAGGTTTTTTTTGTTTGTTTTTTTTTTTGTTACCGGGGATCGAACTTGGGACCTTTCGCTTGCGAGGAAGGTGGTGGCACCACTGAGCTAAATCCCCAGCCTTTTACCTGTTTTTGTTGAAGATGTAGTCATTAAATTCTTCCGATTGTCCTAGTTGGTTTGTTTGGTTTTCAGGAGTTGACTTTGGGAGATTAAAAAAAGTATATTGCCACCACAATTGCAATACTAACTGATTTTACTGGTGTAATTGTGACTAGTAGATAAGGAGATTGAATTTTTTTTTATCTCTGTGTTTGAAAGGTTTAGGACTATTTCATATAAAATTGTATATTTTAACACCTCATAAAGGATTTTTTGAACATCTATTTGTGACCTATAGAGAAATCATATATAAATGTCATATATAAATGTAAGATGTAATTTTTGTCATTGACATTCTTTTTGACTTTAAATGCTAATATGCATAGTTTACCTTACTGCAATGTGAATTGTGTATAGTCTCATAGAAATTTTAGATTAACTAAATTTTAGTTAATAAATAAGTGATTTTAATATATGAATAATATACAAATAAATGATTTTAATATAAATGTGAAAAAGCCACTGAACTTTATTGAAATTAATAAACATAATTTAAAAATTCCTTGCTTGATGGAAATGAATATTGTTTGGAGAAAAGCTAAGGGAAAAAGAATTAAGTAATTTTATTATTTTTATATGTAATACATACTTATACTTAATCTTTTGATTTTTTGTGAGAGATGTGAAAATTTAGTGTTGAAATTATTTGTAATTTTAGGCTTGCCTAATTGCCTTCGTGTAGCACGTACTAGGTAATCATTTTTACTGTGAGCATATGGAAAAAACAGTATTAATATCTTGTTAATTTTATTAGTAAAGATTATATAATCTATTGGATCTAACTTCAAACTATGGAGATGCAAAATAAAATTATCAATTTTTCATAGGAACTGAAGTTAAAAGATGAAGAATGTGAAAGGCTTTCAAAAGTTCGAGATCAACTTGGACAGGAATTGGAAGAACTCACAGCTAGTCTGTTTGAGGTTGGTCTATTTATGTCTTGGCCAACAGCAACATCTCAATTTTTATATACTGGTAGACTTATTTTTTGAAAGAATCTCGGAAAAAGGACATACTTAGCTTTATGTTTGTTAAGTCCTCTAAGCAAAAAATAGAATAAAATTATTAAGCAATATAGAGTCTATAACTTAAAATGATGTGAAAGAAAATCTGATAGGGGTGTTTTGAGGAATGTTAGAAGGCATACCTCAGTATTTCTTCCTGCCACCTTGACCAAAATTTCTACCTAATCAGACCAGTGAGTCTGAGTAGGAGGTCACTGGTACAGAGAAACAGAAGCGACTGGTGTGTATGAGAGAGAATGGAGGCATGAGCACTCATTACCTTAAAGAATTGGCTCATGCAGTTATGGATGCTGGCAAGTCCCAGGAACTGCAGGGTGAATTGAGAAGCTGGAGATACTGGATGGTATAGTTCCGGTCTGAATCTGAAGGCCTGAAAACCAGGAAGAGCTGATGTTTCAGTCAGAATCCGAAGGCAGAAGGAATTTTATTAAGGTAGTCCTTTTTGTTCTATTTAGGCCTTAAGCTGATTGGATGAGACCTACTCACGTTCTAAAGGACACTCTGCATTATTCAGTCTATCAATTTAAATGCTACTGTCGGTTAAAAACACCTTCACGGAAATACTCAGAGTAGTGTTTGACCAAGCATTTGGCCACTCTCATGATCTAATCAAATTGGCAGGTAAAGTTAACCATTTTACTAGGCTTTATGGAAAAAAATGCTAGTAATACTCCCTGATCATTCTGACAACTTACAGTATTTCTAGGGGGTGCATGGTAAAGAACCATTGCCATCAAGTGTCTTCTTTGGATTAAGACCTTGAGTTTTTAGAAGATCCTTATAAAAACATGTTGATGTGTTACTGTAATGGCTAATGCCATTATAACTTAACAGTATTTTCTTTTTCCCCTAAAAATTTATTCATAAAGTTTTTATTGTAATAAAAATGTTAAGGGAAAAATTCACCTTTTGTTATTTTTATTTATGCAACATCTATTTCAGTTTTAGAGGTATGCAGTAGAAGGGAAATAAGCAGAAACTTCTCCTTCTGTAGCAGGATACAGAGGGCCAGAAATGCAGTGTGTACAATGAGTAAAGTACCTCTTAAGAAAGAACAGTTTTGGATTTCTAATCTATCCCTAATCCAATAGAGGTTAAAAGCCTTGACACTGAATGCTGTCTTGGAAGTAATGTACATTAATAAAGAAAATTGTACTCAAACTAATTGTTTATGACTTGCAAGAAAAGGCTAAAAGGTTTTCTGTAATCTTAATTGTGCCTTCACAATTTTAGTTTACTGTTGTCTTATGGAAATATTTTTTGGCTGCAGTTTGTGTGTATAATTTTTTTTGGTACCGGGGATCGAACTCACGTCCTTGCGCTTGCACAGCAGGTGGCAAAACCACTGAGCTAAATCGCCAGCCCCTATGTGTGTATAATTTTTGAGAGTCAAAATTACTCAGAATAGACTCAATTTGTACACCTCTGGTAAACTTAATGTGTGATTTCAAATTAGGAGTTTATTATTGTGTGTGATGAATCATCTTGAATATAATTATACTTTACATGTAGCAAAATTGAGTTTTTTTTTTTTTTTTTAATTGAGTGTTTTAAAAGTATCAAATACATACAAGAACTCCAGTGTTAATATTTTCTTATAACACTTCCAGTTTTTTTTTTTTTTTTGGTACTGGGGATTGAACTCGGTCCTTGCGCTTGCGCAGCAGGCGGTGAAACCACTGAGCTGAATCCCCAGCCCAACACTTCCAGTTTTGAGGTAACATAAAATTAAGTCAGTTTAAAGAGTGCTTTATGAAGTAGTTTGGACTTAATATGGAAAAAACGGTGGTCTTAAAAGATCATTTTAATGTTTTATCAGATACTTTTAGTACATTTCAGTGATGTGCCTTATAGTCTCTCAACAATGCTGTAAGTTTTATAAGCATAGATTGTTACAATGGAAGGCTAATAAGCTATGCTGATTCTCAGATTCATGACTGACTCTAGCTTTAGGCTCTATGAAAGTCATAACTGGAACTTTTTTTGTCTCAAGCTGTAGTAAAGGAATCATCATGAGATACCTCTTTCCTTCATCCCACATTCAAATTTTCAGTAAAGTCTTGTGATGCTACCTCCAGACTATAAAGCAGACCATTTTTGAAGCTACTGTCATTTCTTAGCTAGACCAATAGATGCCAAATATTTTGATTCTGTACTCTGTCAGTAATGGAAAATTTGAGCATATACCTAATACTTATTGACAGCATGTATTTACAAATTGTTTACATACACAATATACATGTACATATGTATATTTAAAACATGAAAGTTTTAAAAGATGATACAGTAATAAAATACTTAAAAATTTTATAATACAAAAATATTTTATTCTTACTGAAACATTTCTTATATGTGTATTTTAATATATATTTAGTGAGGACTATGAATGTTACCCTTTTTTGAAAATTTTATTTTAACAATTTATGACTCCGATGATAGTCCAGTCTGTTTCATTTTTAAAATGTTCAAAATTGCTGACTATTAGAGAAAGCGATTTAAAACAATACTGAGATTTGATCTTATCCCAGTAATAATGGCTATTATCAAGAAATCAAATAATAACCAATGCTGGTGAGGCTTCAGGGAGAAAGGAACCCTTCAACACTGTTGGTGGGAATGTAAACTAGTACTGTGGAAATCAGTATGAAGATTACTCAGAAAGCTAAAGCTAGAAATTTCATTTGACCCAGCTAATCCCCTTCTCCAGATTCCCTTTAGGTATCTTCCTGAAAGATGTTAAAGTCATCACACTACAGTGATAGATGCATACCCATGTTTATAGCAGCACAGTTCATAATAGCTAAATCTCGGAAGCAGAATGGATGAAGAAATTGTGGTATTTACACACAATGGAATACTGTATTACTCTGCCACAAAGAAAGATAAACTTGAATCATTTGTAGGAAAATGGATACTCTTGAGACCATAATATTAAGTGAAATAAATCAGATGCACAAACTTAAATGTCATTTAAATATAAATAAAGAGGAAAATAAAAGATCGATAATAGGAAGTACGGAGAGAGATCTTTCTCAGATGGGAAGGGGGTCAAGAGATGGAAGGAATGGGGTGGGGAAAAGAAAAGAGTTGAAGAAAGAAATTAAGATGTGTTATGTACACGTGCAAACTCCACACAAGGAATGGAAACATTATGTACTGCAAACATGTACTAATAGAAAATAGGGATATGTGACAACTGAAAATGTTAGCTGTAATATTGCTGGTACTCACAGATATACTGATCCATATGTAAGATGTGTATCTTTTCCTGTAGTTAGTAATATACCAAATTTCAATTCAGTTGCAAGTTGTGGAAAGATTTTTCCAGAAAATTTTCTAGTGAATTTTTATGTTCTCTAATACTATACTAGCAAATAATATTTGCAAATTAGTCAGAAGAGACTCAAACAGAGAAAATGAAGAATTGCTACATAGTGCTGGACATAGTGCTGGACAGGAACAGAGTGGTGGACAAGATCTAGACTCACCTGGATGACTTCCAAGATCCTTCAGACTGAAATCAAATCCCTGGTGTAGAACAAGGTAAATGATGGTGCAGGAAGCTGAAAGACCCAACAGGAGGACTCTGACAGGCAAGAGGAGACAGTGGAGACAGTAGTGTTGGAGCTGTACAGGATGATGCAGAGCGTGCTATTCAAGGTGGCAGCCCATGAGGATGGGTGGAAGAAGCCTATAAAGCAGCTGAGAAAGGACCTGGACACCAAGCTAGTCCCCAGTCTGGACACTCCAAAGAAAGAGGTGGTAGAGATCTGGGAAGCAGTTGGGAGGCTAATGATGGAGGAGGGCTTTTGACTTGATTTGGATCATGCAGCAGGCTTTAGGAGGTGTTGTAGTCAGGGCCTGGAAGGGAATAGATTTCACATAGGACACATAATTTATGGGATCATTTTATAATATTCACCCAAAAGATCAAAGGCAGAGGAATACAATAGATATGTCTATACACTAGAGACCTGAAGAATCCAGCCAAAGGCTTGGATCCTATAACACTGTCCCGCACTAGTCCAGCTGAAGCCCTAGAGCCTGTGGCAATATCTCATATATTGAGGATCCACACTGGGAAGGCCCAAAAACCAGTGATGGAAGCTAGAAAGCCTGCACCGGTGGGGTGAAGGATTTGTGCCACCAGGCTGAGGGATCTACATTGGACCCAGGAGTGACGCTCAAGGTGAAGATCAGGGCTTCCCTGAAAAGAACAACAGCCATTCCCAGAGACAGCGAGGACCCAAGCTCCTCTTCTGACAAGAACAGCCAAGTTCACTTCAGGAAAACCAGCCATGGCAAACTTCTCCAAGAAAATCAACAATTTTTTTTTGGTCTTTCTGAGACAGAGTCTCACTGTGTAGTTTAGGCTGGCCTTGAACTCACTGTGTAGCCCAGCCTGGCCTTGAACTTGAAGTGATCCTTCTGCCTCAGCCTCCCAAGTGCTGGGATTACAGGCATGCACCTCCATGCCTGGCTGTCTGGTCCTGTTTTTATGCTGTTGGCAACAGTCCTCAGGTGGGTCTTCCATACCCGGACCACGCTGATTCAGTTCAGCGGGGTGTTCCAAGTTGCCCATTAGTTAATCCACCACATGAGGCAACTGTTTGAGTGGGAGAAGTGCACTTCCTGTGACTGGCAGGTGCAGATGATGACTTGCCCACAGATGATCACCATCTGCAGAGCCAATAGCTATGAGTACCTGCAGTGTCAGCACATGAGAGAATGTCACCTGCTGCAGTTCCAGGACTTCAGCATCTCAGAGGAAAACCTGAATGCCCTGGGTTTTCACAAGGATTGGGGTGACAGCCCCTGAAATGATGCCAGCCCCAAGCTCTAGTCATGTAATCTATCAACTCTCCCTATGAGGGTCCCCAAGTGATACACTATGACAC